TGAACGCATCTAAAACGAAAAGCCTAGTGCTTTCTCGTTCTCCTGCCCGTTGCTTTCTTCAGATTAACGGGAGGCAGTGCAGCAGGTGGAGAAGTTCAAGTACCTTGGAATCGTGTTCACTAGTAATGGAAAATTTGAGGACACATCGATTGACGAATTGGAGTAGCTAGTGACATTCTGCATGAACTAGCCCGAACTTTGTGACTAAAACTGAGTTGAGTCTGAGGAATAAGTTGTCAGTGTTAAAGTCGATGTTTATTCCCATGCTTACCTACGGTCATGAGTCGTTAACCATGACTGAAAAGCTTCGAACCCGGTTCCAAGCTGCTGAAACGGGCTTTCTGGGACGAGACTCTGGCCTTACGTTCTCGACATTGTCCAGAATATAGACATCCGCGAGAGCCTTGGTTTACAACGTCTGCTTCAGGTTAAGAAGTCACCACTACGATGTACATGTTTTGCGAATGCTTCCAGAAAGGAAAGCTAAGCAGATGTTTCCTGGTCGTCCTGCCGGGAGATAGCCCAGGGGACAGTCAAGATTATCCTGGCGCAATTGTATTGATGAACTCTGCTGTAAACTCTGACTGGCTTATGAAAGCGCTGATGATACAGCACAGGAATTGAAACGTCGGAGGCGCTGTCTAACAAGTCTTCCTCAATGACCCGAAAGTAGGAACGGTTATAGAAATTTAAGTGAACTACTTACACGGCCATCGAAGTTGACTGACTGACTGACTAAAGGTTGAAAACTAAAATCAAGTCTTTCTGATCATAACAGAAATTTGTCCTGCGTAAGTATTTCAAGTGAAAGTTTTCGTTCTATATGTTCTGCTGATTTGTGATTTTATAGCATATTATTGGTTGAGGGGATCTTAATGCACCTGATCTCTAGGCTGTCATATGTAGACACTCATTGATTTTGACAGTAGCAGTAACTCTGTTCGTCATTTCAGTGAGTTGGTCACATGATATAAAATTTTGAACTTCTTTCGAAAGTGTATTAAGTTTTTGCGATGTAGGGGCACCAAAGCGTTTTTCCAGTTTCTTTCTACTTCATAATGTTATTCATCGGACATAGCCTGTACATTCTACGATTTTCCCTCGAAGTAACAGAGCTTTGTTTCTCTATTTGTA